GGATTTATTACCCCCTACCCCTGAGTAAGAAATAGTAAGAAATCATTGACCCCCTCCCACCCCAAAATACCTTACGTAATTTATGGACGGCCCCTAAGTAATGTCCAAAACATCACTTTTGATAAAACTGGATCGTTTCTGCTGCAAAGGTACAGATCAAAACATCGAAATTTTGATGTAACAAATGAAAATATGATGATCAAATAATTAAATGCATGATGAAAATATGAGGATCAAATAATTAAAACACAGGTTATGATTGGTGTAAAAAAATTAGATTTTACGAATACGCGAGCTGTTCACAGCCTGGCACACGTATTTGTAAAATCTAAGTGACTCGTATGACATGGAATTCATATAATACGGAATTATCAACAGTGTTATAGAGGAGTCTACTGTACTTTTTTGTATTTTTAAGGATGGACTTTGTGTATTGGTGTCGAATTTGACTGGGTTTTAGCTGGAATCGCACCAAGCACTATCTTCGAGACACCGCTCGATCGTCAGTGTTTTCTGTATTGTATTGTATTGTGTTATTGTATTGTGTACCTATTACTCCTGTGTATTTTACCTTTATATTATAATTAATTATGTATTTTGTAACACCTATATCTATCTGTATCTTTATTATTGTAATTTGTTATCACCGGGTAGTGCTCACTGCGGAACCCGGCATGTACCATTGTGTGCGTTAATAAAGAAATGAATGAATGAATGTACTGTTGGAGACGACTTTTGCGCATTCCATGGACAGCGCGCATTACCAACAAAACTGTCTTCCGAAAATCTCACTGGAAGTCCAGATAAACAAACATAAATTGTCTTTTTTTGGTCATATAATGAGAACCAGCTCCCCTGAGAAGGCGGTCAAGCTGGGATGGTTAGCGAGAAAAAGCGCGAGGCCGACCAAGGATTCGGTGGCTCCACACAATCAAAAGTGACACTAATTATCTATAACTGAATTGAAGGAGGCTGCGCAGGATACAGAGGCATGGAGAGCTTCGATCCATAGAGTGACCGAGAGTTGGACACAACTAAGCTGATAGGATAGAATAGAAGTTATAAATATTCTAGTTTTAAATCATTTAATTTTAATATGTTAAATAAATTAATTGCCTGGGCTTCTGCAGTAGCTTTTTCACTTTCGTCACTGTCTGATTTTTAAAAAAATTCCACGTTAGATTTTGATGATTTTGGTGTCAAAATACTCAGGGGAATTCTGGCATGTGCATAAATTACTTTTTGGAAAATATTATTGACTCAGATAAAAGATATATTCAAAAAACGGAAGTGTCGACTTTCGCCTCTTTGATGCTTAATAACAAAAGCGTATTTTGGCAGTTTTGGATGCTGTTTCTTAAAATATAAATCTACATAGTTGCTTGATATTTTTCCAGAGTTTGGTGATTTTCGGTTGACCTACGGAAAAGTTATCCGAGTTCAAAGAAAAAGGAACCAGATTTACATCCCTCATCCCTACTAGATGGCGTCACATTACCCATCTCTAATAAGGGAATGCTTCTGAAACTTTCTGGAATATATCCTAGCAGTTTGTGGTACTGGCATTATTCTGGAACCTTCTGGAACTGGAGCGCAAGGTTGGATCTGTCTAAGATTGTTGAGGTCCAATGTGTGAGGCCCCAAAAAATGAATTGAAATTAAATATTTATTATTAGAAATTTATTAAAACGAAACTAGAAAAAATCGTCTATTGTTAAAAACCGATCAAAGATCGAATTAGTTGTGTTAGTCATATGAAACCACGACGAGAGAAAAAAAAAACTTTATTGATGTAAACGGAACGCAATAATTTTAAACGATTAATAATTGTAAACACGACCTCCAGTAGAGATGGACCTTTGAAGAGTCGCTCATATGAACATAATTAGAACATAGAAATTTTGAAAAGAGGAAAGATTAATGACGAAAAAGGACATCGCGTCGTGTCGTTAAATTTCAAAAACGTCACAGACTAGACAACAATGGTGGAAAATATGAGCGCAAGTTTCAAAGTTCCATCAACATTTTGCATCCAGAATAACAGATGGTGTCAAGTAGATTCTTCAAGGTGGATCTTTCTCGTGACTCGAAAAGGAATCGTTTNTTTTTTTATAAGCTTTTGGTGAAGATATACTATTTCCAACAGTGCACTCAACATCGATGCTTTTTGCAATAGGAAGAGGAGTATTATCATGGTTAGGAGCCAAATTAGTTATCATTTTTGTAACGATTTCAGACTCTTTCTTTTGATTGACTAGGTTATAATTATTCTGTTTCATAAAAAGAATAATTACAGTATATATATATCAAGTTCATAACACTTTATTGATTAGAAAGCAAAAAAGTATAAAAAGCAACTTAATATACAACATACCTTACTAAAATATGACAATAAGCCAACTTTTCTTTTTTTATCTTGAGTGTCGTAATGGTTTATACGTTGTTGTATAAAAGTACTGAATCCGTTTGTATCAGTGCCGTATCGAGCTTTTGCTTCGGTCCATACTAGATTTGCATCTTTTTGTACGTTATCACTTTTCTTGTTGGCATGTGCTTTTTTATATGACTTGAAAAATCTTTGGTAAACATCATCTAAGTTTATTTTTTGCATTTCTACGTCTAATATATTATCACGTCACACGAGATGGCGTTAGTACAACGAGCGTTCTTAACAGAAACCACCCAATTAAAGCCAAATTCAAAACTCCAGATTCAACAAAATAAAAAAAAATAAATTTAAGAATATTACGTAAGACTGGATTTATTACCCCCTACCCCTGAGTAAGAAATAGTAAGAAATCATTGACCCCCTCCCACCCCAAAATACCTTACGTAATTTATGGACGGCCCCTAAGTAATGTCCAAAACATCACTTTTGATAAAACTGGATCGTTTCTGCTGCAAAGGTACAGATCAAAACATCGAAATTTTGATGTAACAAATGAAAATATGATGATCAAATAATTAAATGCATGATGAAAATATGAGGATCAAATAATTAAAACACAGGTTATGATTGGTGTAAAAAAATTAGATTTTACGAATACGCGAGCTGTTCACAGCCTGGCACACGTATTTGTAAAATCTAAGTGACTCGTATGACATGGAATTCATATAATACGGAATTATCAACAGTGTTATAGAGGAGTCTACTGTACTTTTTTGTATTTTTAAGGATGGACTTTGTGTATTGGTGTCGAATTTGACTGGGTTTTAGCTGGAATCGCACCAAGCACTATCTTCGAGACACCGCTCGATCGTCAGTGTTTTCTGTATTGTATTGTATTGTGTTATTGTATTGTGTACCTATTACTCCTGTGTATTTTACCTTTATATTATAATTAATTATGTATTTTGTAACACCTATATCTATCTGTATCTTTATTATTGTAATTTGTTATCACCGGGTAGTGCTCACTGCGGAACCCGGCATGTACCATTGTGTGCATTAATAAAGAAATAAATGAATGAATGTACTTTTCTGTAATGGTGTTTTTTCTCCTGCAGAAAACGATATACACGAATAGAATCATATCAATAACATTGCCCTGACTGAGAACAATAACACGGGTTATCAATACATCAACACAAGCTACATTATTTTCAGTTTGTGTGCAAAAATCCCGGAAACAATTTCGGTAAAAGACGAAATAGACGAATCAGTTTGACAGGAAACCTTCAAGAAATCGCCGATATTTTTCACGTTCCTCAGCAACCAATACTTTGTGAAACGAGATTCATAGTCACATCTGCAATTGTTTCCAGATAAAAAAAAAGCTTCAACTCCTCAGAAGTATAGATTAAATTTATTAATTCCGGAGAAAGTACGGTTAACCGTTTTGCATCTAACGATAGAAACGAGACAGGAATAAAAAAAAATTATTATTATTATTACAAGTAAAGCAGAAAGAGAGACACTTAAAGAAATTACTTGTTAAAATTACATCAATTTAATTTTAACTATTATTAAAATTATACAATACGAATTAATACAATATTATTTCATTTCTAATAATATATTAAATTCATTTCTAATGACAAATTCGTGAAAATTTTGAAATTCGTGCATAACTCCTCAATTGCGAGTGAAGTGATTAACAATACATTGCACGAATATAGCATTTAACAATCCATTTAACTGTAATTACAAGCGAAATAGCAAACATACTATATTCCTTTTAGTTTCTGATCCCTCCCCGATTTATTATCTTGTTAATTAAAATTTCAAGCAGAAGCGTGAAGAAAGAAATAATGTAACCAGCACACAAGAAGTATAAATAACTTGTAATGTCTTCAAGTTTAATACAACTGTTCAATTTATCCTCGTCTTCGTAGGAATTGAATTCAGAGTAAATCTTTCTTTTTTCGATAATATTTCGAGCATATTTTTCGGGCAAACCACTCTGCTGAATAATATTTACCCTAAAAAAGCAAAAATTTATATAACTAGAAAATAATACATAAAGTTTACATCGACTTACATTCTGATAACTTCCTCGGTGTAATGAAAGAGTTTTCTGTTGATCTGGATGGAGAGGAAATTTGTAAATAGGATATCGGATGGAAGATGAAGTTTGATTTGCTTCTCCCATTCCAACTTGTACATAGATAATTCCCATTTTGAACCAATCATGACGTAGTTTCGTCGAAAAATCTGGTCTGTAAGCCTTTCAAGTATTCCTATTATGCTCTCATACCAATTTCTTTCTATGGACTTTTTTTATATAATAAATTTCATCGTTGTCTATTGGTATCCGATCCAGTGTCTAATAAATGAAATTGAACACAATAAATTTTTGTAATATTCGCATTGAAGTTTATGCGTGTTTAACAGTGTTAATTACAGCAACATAGTTAAAGATAATTAAGTTTTAATAATTAAGAACTGACATTGTTATGTACAGTACAGTATTTAGAAACTTATTATCAACGAAATTAAATCTGATATAGATATCTTTATATATCATGAAGGGTATACCGAGTGTATCTAAATTAGTGTTCATACATGGAGGGATATGTTCCTTACACCAAAACACTACAAAAATTTCATGTGAACATGGGTCCGAAAATCTTACATTAAAGAGTTAAATGCCTCGCATGTACTGTACCTAGAGGATTTGATCCCGGGATCTCGAAAATCGGGATCCCGGGATCCCAACAACTTTTCAGTCCCAAAATTTTCGGGATTAAGTTTTCCTAATCCCGAGATTTTCGGGATTGACATCATTTTAAAAAAGTTGCAAAATAGACTGCAAGAAGCGAAACGTTCAGTGCCAGTGCTTTTAACAGAATTGCTTGCCTATCATTTTAATATAAAATATGAGAAATTTTATTTCAAGCAAGCAGCAGAAATTAACCTAGCGGGCTTGCGATGCTTGCTTGGAATAAAACTTCTTGTATTTTGAACTAAAATGATAGGCAAGCAGTTCTCACTGGGTTACTTGGTAATATACTTCATTTTTGTATTTTTGAATTTTCGCGGGCGC